ATCACATTCGGTCGTGCTTCTGTGGCGTGCAAGAACACTCATCAGATTTTGCTGAATTGATTGAATGATTGACTGGCCTGGATGCTTGCCGGCTTTCCTGTTGAGATTTTGGTGGAGCAGTAGGCTCCGGGCTTTCTGAGTTTACTTTCAGGAATCTAACCTTCCTGACAGTATCACACTCATGCGTGGTCGCATAACGCATGACCTTTTTCTGGCGTTATAAGATTTTGCCTTTTTGCGGCTCATAACAACGTAGGAGATGAAATGGGCAGGCGAGTTCTTGTCCGGTTGAATTGTTCCGGGAACTCAGCTTCTCACACGATTCTTCCAACAGAAATTCTCTGCTCCTTTTACATAAACAGAAATTTCTCGGCTGCTGCAATTCTGTTCTTTTAGCTGATTTCAGTATCCGTAGGTAGACTTTCGAAAGATTACTGATGTCTCGTAATACTGGTCGTTTTAGAGGCATACTGATGATAAGACCAAATGGTTTCGAACAATCTCATCGTTAAAAAGTCGCTTTTCTTTAGCCTAACTCCCATGCCATCCGAAGGAAGCATGAGGGCTGGGATACTGCCAGGAGTCGAAAGGCACAGCTCGGGTTCGAACCACGGACCTTCCGGTCCAACCATGAACCCGTTCCCTAACAAGAATCTCACAACCTGCTTCTGCTTATGTTGCCTGGCGGAGATACTATTTTTAGGTTTGGACCGGCATACATATTACGTCGACACAAGAAACTCCGCTCATAAAAGCATGGGGACGGACTAATGACATTCCGTTTTGTTGAATGATCCAAGCGAAAATTTCGTGAGAGCCCCGACCTGCGGAAAGAAGAATCCAGCTGCATACCAACTTGGTTTTTCCGAAAGACTCATCTGGAATCCGACAGAATCTCTTTTATATGAAGCTATTCTTCAACCGGGGTCAAGCCACAGATAAGATTGACGGAAACCCGAAGACTATTCCCACCTGGTGGGCTCTAAGAAGGGTGGAACTGTCCATGTGTTGTCAAAGAGTTCCCAGCGACCTTATGAGTAGTATATACGTCTGTACAGTAACACAGGACGTTTGCCTACATAGGTTCATCACTGGGGGGTCTACGAGGTACCAGGACGTCAATAAGTGATTTGTACAACGCTGAAATGTACTCGCTATTTTCGTCCAGATGTATTTGTCGGCTTGTTTACAAACCAATGCTGTCTACGAGTGATGTGGTTGAGCTCCTACAGCGCGCAAGTCTGTGGACCCCTGGCGAGACAAAAAGTGAAATTCTATTCTGAAATTCTGAAATTCTATTCTGTGAAATTCTATTCCCAAAGTTAAACGGACATGCCGCCCCTTGACCTGTCAAGCATAGTAACAAAATAGACTGATTGTATCGTTTTTTTAAATCCCTGGTTCCTCATTCCAAGAGATTTCAGCGGAATATTCATACCAGTACCTCCTTCTGTTTGAGTCCTGCTCAACGCACTAACACTGAGTCTACACGCGAACAAAATTTCCACGGTTTACAACACCAGTTCACCGGAATCGCTATCCATTAGTGCAAGTGAACTGCACAAAAGTCGTGGTAAGGCTGGAACGATCACGTGACATGAGATTTGTCAAGGTCTCCGGAGGCTGTAGTGGTCTGACCACCCAATAACTTAGTCTACCAGGAGTGTGTGGCAAAGAAACAAAAATAATAACGCTAGATGGGGTAAACAATAATAAAGAGGTCAGATGGAACAGACTCACTAATAATTGTTCTCTTTAAAGTAGTTCGTCGTTGGCCCAGGTCAGCGAATAAGCAATAATCCGATGATAGTTATCCAGGGGTCTTCTTCTGAACAGTTCCCACATGTAATAGATTCCAAAGATGGTCTGAAACGTTTTGATACCAGAGTTAGCACATGAGACTCGCGAATG